AGAATTCATAAAATGTATGCAGAATAACGAATAGCGTGAGAGAGATGGGAAGGATTGAAAAGAAGTGAGAGAAAAGAATAATAATGGGAGATAGAGAGAGATAGAAAGGAAAGAAGACTCGATTTTTTTATTTTTAGATTTAAAACATTTTTTTAAAAGGAAAATGATAAAAGGATAATATTTTTATATAATTTTTTATATAATTTTTTTATACAATTTTCATATATCATTAAATGAATAAATGCACTCAATATCATATATTAAATTAAGAAACTAATCATTTAAATGATATATTAAATTATACCAAAAAATAATAAAAAAAATAGTTATTTAATCATTTTCCTTTTAAAGCTATTTAGGACTACTAAATAAATCTTTTAAATTTTTTTAGCCGCTCAAGCCTCACAGTTTTGAGAAAGTCTACAATATGCCGGGTATACCACGTGGGACGTATCCCGAACCAATAATATTCTGACACGTTTTAGATTGTGGGGCCATAAAACACCAAAAATTAACGCCGTTTCTTTGCCTTCCTTCATCCTTTCATTGGGCCGTTTCTACTTCTTCCCCTCTGTCTTTTATTTTTTCGCTGCATTTACATGCCACTTTTAAAAGTTGAATAACCATTTCTTTTTCTTCATCTTCATCTTCATCCATCAATTTTTCATCAAACAACAAAATCCACAAAAACACATAAATATATATTTTTTTTTCATCAAACATCACCTTCTCCTTCCTCATCAAACATTAATTTTTCAAAGGAACCCAGGTGCTGGGTTCAATCGAACCCAACAGGCACCCTTGCTCCTTTTTCTTCCTTGCCTTACCTTCTCCGTCAATCAATTCTTCTCATCATCAAACACGAAACCCAAACAAAAAAACAAAAAACAGAAATTTTTTTTAGTTTTTGCCCCTGGGTTGAAAGAACCCAGCGCCGTGTTCGTAAGAACCCAGGCCTGGGTTCCTTCGAACTCGGCACCAGGTTCGAAGGAACCCAGGCGTTGGGCTCCTTCAAACCCAGCGTCGGGTTCAAAGGAACCCCAACACCTGGGTTCCAAGGAACCCAGGAACCCCAGGAACCCATGACCCCAATGGAAAGAGAATGGGAAGGAGAAAAAAAAAAAAAAGAGGAGCAGGTAAACGCAGCAAGTAAATGGAAAAAAAAAAGAGAGAGGAAGTAGTAGAAACTGCCCAAAGAAAGGAAGAAAAAAGGCAAAGAAACGGCGTTAGTTTTTGTTTTTGGTGTTTTATGGCCCCACAGTCTAAAACGTGGCAGAATACTATTGGTTCGTGATACATCCCACGTGGTATACCCGTGATATTGTAGACTTTCTCCACAGTTTTTGGGGAGTGGGTAATTCGGATCTAGACACAACACAAGTATTTGGAATAAATCTTTTACTAAGAATGCATAAACAAAAGAAAGACTTATAGTTGTTACAACGTGATCTCATCTAGAATTCTACGTACGACAGTTATATTAATATCCTTACATGGGATGTTTGGAGTCTAAATACAAACAAGTAAACAGCGACTTACGACATCTTATTTTCAGATGAACATTGATATTTAACGGGAATGAGCTTAAGAGGCACTTTCTTATGAGCAGTAATTCCAGCTTCCTCCTCCTTGCAGATATCTTCCTCTGTCATCCCTCCCGGTAATTTCCAATCAAAGCAATACAATAGATTTGCGAGTGTAAACTCCAATATGGCGGCCACTTTATGCACCGCCGGACAAATTCTCCGACCACTGCCAAACGGTAAAAACTCATAATGCTGCCCCTTGAAATCAATTGGACTATCCAAGAACCTTTCGGGGTAGAACTCTTGGGGGTTTTCCCATACATTTGGATCTCGCCCGATAGCCCAAACATTTACTTGAACTCGGGTCTTCGGTTCAATGGTGTAGCCCAAGATGTTGAATCGGATATTGGCTTCTCTCGGCATCAGCAATGTCCCCGGTGGATGCAGCCGCCAGAGTTCCTTCAGCACCGCCTCCAGATACGGGCGTTTTTCGATGTCAGTTTCTGAGACTTTCCCTTTGTTCCCAAGGCTGTTTCTTATTTCTTCCTTTGCTTTCTTCATCACTCTTGGGTTCTTTGCCAGCTCCGCCATGGCCCAAGCCATGCTTATGGAAGCGGTATCGGATCCGCCAAGAAATATGTCCTGATAGGTGACAGATCCAAAGTTGGTCAGTTTGAAAATTTCAGAATAAATTTTCTTCTTATTAGGCCTCAGCCTTTCAAAATTGCTTGTGAACTCAGTCAATCCTAAGGAGTAATTGCCGAAATTAACTTTATAAAAGAAGAAACATTGCAAAAACAGAGGAAGTTCGAAGTCACTTGCTTACCATAAGAATAGCTTTGATGTGATTATGAGTGATTTTTTCAGTACCGGATGCCGTTTCATATTTCGCTAGTTTTATCAGAACGTCGATGATATCTTCCTGTTCTTCCTCTGCAATTCGGTAACCGGAGCAGAGGTGATCATCTAGCACTTTCTGGAAGAAAGCATCCAGTCTTTTAAAATTCCGTTCGAGTCTTCTATGGAGACCGGTGATTCTGTCCACATTCCAACCGAAGTAAGGGAAGAAATTGGCGGCCGCAAAGCTTCCCAACGTAGCAAAAGCTTCATGAATCACCTCTTCGTAATCCGTGTCAAAATCTTCGTATCCCCTTTCTCTGAAGCTCTTTCCAAAAGCAACCCGACAAGTAACATCGGCGGTAAGAGACATCAGCTTCTCACTAAGGTTGACCAGTGTCCCTAATTTGGAGAATTCCGAAATTGATTTTATTAGGGATTCCACCTCTTCTTCTCTGACGAACCGGCAGGATTGGACTCTTTTAATGCTGAGGACTTCGATAACGTACAGATGTTGCATTTCTCTCCAGTAATCGCCATAAGCAGTAAAGTCGACGTCTAGGTAGTTATAGGAGAGCTCTCCGGTACCCGTCACGGGAGGTCGGCTGCAGCAATCGAGATCGTGGGCTTTAAAGAGTTCTTTTGCCGCTTCTGCAGAGGATACAATGAGTGTTGGGACAAATCCAATATGAACGAGCATTAGAGGGCCATGTTTCTTTGACATTTCGGCAAACGACTGGTGGGGAACTGCACCGATTTGGTGAAGGTTTCCAATAATTGGAAGTTTTCGAGGGCCAGGAGGAAGCCGCTGCTTTTGTTTTTTGCATTTCTGGAGAAGAAGTACTAAGAAAAACAGAAAAAGAAGAAGACTAAACATTGGCATAACTACTAATGAAGGTCCTCAAATTGGTTTTAGCTCTCAGCTTTCCTGGCTTCCATAACTTTAACATTCCTTGCAATTTATAGCCAAACAAGCAGTTCAACTCCATTTGTCTAGCCTGTGCAATTACGTGCTTCAGTTCAACTCCATTTGTCTAGCCTGTGCAATTACGTGCTTATTAAGAGTATATTTATTATATTTTTTATTATTAATTGTTATAAAAAAATTTACCAAAGTATGACATTTTAATTAAAGAATTAATAAAATTAAAGTTAATTTTTATTTTTTATATAAATTAATGATAAAAAATCACAAAGATACAATAAATAAATTTTAACTTTATCCTAAAAACACATGATAAAAAAATTTCATTTCTTATATATATCAATTTAATCACATGAATTTAATTTCAATATTGGGTACAAAAAGGAAACCCACATGTTAAAAAATTTCATTTATTATATATATATATTAATTTAATTACATTAATTTAATTTCAATAATTTAATTTCAATATAGGGTACAAAAATCAAACCTTTTGGTTAGGATTAGGCATTCTATTCGGATTGTTGAAACTGAACTAAACCAAACTAAGTTTTTAGTTATCTAAATTTGGATGTAACTTTCATAGCAAAGTCAAACTAAATATTTGATTTGGTTATAATTTTGGATAATTAAAATTATTCAAATAATTTAGTTAATTAACTAACATAATTAAAATTTTTATATATCAATATTAATATATTATTATTTTTCATTGTTAATTATTAAAAGCCTTTTTATTATTTTTAATTTTTTTAAAAATTCTCATACTATAAATTTGACAAAAAAATTCTATTCAAAAACATATATAATTATTTAATATTAAAAAAATTTAATTTTACTTAATAACTCATATCAATAATTTTATATATAAGTCAATAACTTATTCC